TGATCTTGGCTAATTCCACTGTTTTTGTTTGGGGTGGTAGTGATGGTAGAGACCTGGGTACTTGATTCGCTCTACTTCAAGCGACGCCATTAACACGCGGTCGAGTAGATCCCAGTCTTCTCCTCCCCACTTGTCTGTGTAGTCGTTAGTGTTCATTCCTAATTAAGCGTAAATGCGAAGTAAAAACAAGAAAAAAAACAAATGTTTGAGGCGTGACACGGAAACAGGACAGATGCGTCCAGTAGACTGGCGCGGTATCTTTTCATGAAAGCGATATTCCATAATTCGTCATTGTTATTTTCAGTTGAGCGCAAAAGCGAGACAAAAAGAGGCCCTAGAGGTGGAAAAATCTTCTGACTCCAACATCGTCGAAGTTAGATCAGAACCTTTATGACGCAGTACGACCTAACCCTCCCTCCTGTCCGTTTCCCCCGCCCCCTCCCTCCTGCCTTTGGATGGCAACCCCCTAGAGCACATTCGCCACCTTGAAATGAGAAGAGAACTGGACCCAAAGAGTCCCGCAATTGTTTCTGGGATTGTTACTATGGACGCGCCAGTCAGCTATTGGCCAATTTCTGTCCCCAGTAACAGTCCCAGATGTCTTTGCGAAAGTTAACTCGGCCAGGGGTAATAGGCTCCTGACTCGGCCTATTTCCTGTTTGTTTCTAAAGCGGCAATTTAGGCGAATGCATCTTCTTGCCCTAGACAAAGCTTACTTGTGCTAGCAAATACTTTACCCTTAAAGTTTCGGCAAAGGATAAATTCTTTTAGTCTTACCTCCAACTCTTATCCAATCTGATTTATACATCGCCACTAGTCCGTACCCATCCATTTGCCAGAAACCTCGATGTTCCACAGAATTACTTCCTTGATCCAGGCGGCCGACCGCTGGACAATAAACCATACGACCAGCAATGGTGTTCTAAGGAGAAGGAGAGATCAGAGATATTGATTTCATTTTTTTTAATCTTGCTTTTTATCAGAAGCCTTTCTCCGTTTCTCAGTGCAGTAAAAACCGTGATCTTTCACTACGCATTAGTTTTGTGGCTGATATTTATAGTTGTAGTTTACTTACGCTTCATGAAGGAAAAGGGGAGTCAAATAATTATGAATAATTTATATCATTATTGGATGAGGTTTCTGCGGAATAATCTAGGTCGAGGTTAGTGTCTAATCAGCTGAAGGCGAGTCTCAGATGATATCACCTGCCTCGAACTTGAGTATTCCGGATATCACAAAGGCCCAATTTTTTATCATCGGAAGCCGAAAGGTCGGACATTTACGCATATCAATGAGCCATTGAGGTGGGCCAATCAGGCATGAATGTGCCAAGAAAGCGGCATAATAATAAAGAAAACGGGCGATTTGGGCGCAGCAGAGTGACTAAAATCGTCATTTCGGTAGTCAGAAAGATGAATTCTTTAACATTTTTTTTTAGCTAGAAGACGTCTTAGAATAAAATAACGACAAACACACGGTCGCACGGAACACAGTTTGACACTTTTTTTGGAAATCATGTATATATTGCGCAAGCAACCTACAGATTAGTTAATCTGCTATCAGATAACTAATCTTTAGGTTGCGCTGATTTCCAAAGTTAACTGATGTGAGTGTAGACTTTTAACCAATGACAGGAGCCCCCAATCACCGGTATCGCCCGTACTGGTGAGCGCTAGATCCTGGCGATCCTACAAAAAAAAAATAGGGTACTTTGAACAGTCTAGTTTCATGAATAGAACGATAATTTATCATAACCTTTCGAACGCTGTCCATGATGTCTGCAGGTACATCTATGTGAAGGTCAAACACGAAAAGTATGTCATGCGCATTAGGCACTGCTTCGGCTGCTTTGTTTAAGGCAAGAGTCTTGTAAAAATTTCCCGTTAAATTAATGATAGTATGCCTACTTCGGAGTAGTGATGTACTAAACGCCTCGCTCATGTTAATATCTTTACTTTGAAAATCAGCGATTATGACGTGAAAGTTCGTGTCACTGGTTAATAAGCTCGCAATAGTGAGCTGTTTAAGGAAATGATGTACCCATAGTCCTTGATCCTTGACGGTGACGATAAAATACACTGTGGCGCTGCTGTTCCAGTTCATTCCTTCAGGAAGGCACAATATATCACTTCCTTTTCTCTGGTACACGTGTTGTGCAAAGCGAATTGATCGATTCAATGGGTCATGCATTAAACCAAGTTCAAGGTCCAACAAAAACCGATCGCCATTTCCGGGGTCTGATTTTTGTATCACTTTGTAGACTTCTTTTACGTAATACTTCCTAAAAAGGGAAACAGAGCAAAGAAATGAAAGACGAGATCCGCCGGCAAGGTTGAAGAACTACCGGTTGAGTTGAAGTCTGCGTTGTGTGGTTCCTTTTTCTCTTTTTTACTTCTTTCATGTTTTAATTTGAAGGAAGACACACTATTGTTTTAAAGGAAAAGGGGATACTTTTCTAGAGTGTCGTCTACCACTACACCTGTTATCTGGCACCGAGGTTGGGGGGGGGAAGGGGGGAAGGGGGGGGCTTCCATTTAAAAGTGACGGGGATGCTCGCCAGAAAATTAAAATTAAACCCCTAAGGGAGACCAATGAGAGTGTGGCTCAAGTTTAAACTGACCGATAAAGAGGACCATACTAAAACAAACATCCCGGGTTTTTTTGTAAATTTTTTTAGGCACAACCATAAGCGATACCTAAATGGGCAAATATAGTGACTTTCCGTCCCAAAGTGGGACCAAAATCTGCAATTTACACCCCTAAGCAAGACGACGAGCATCCTCGTCCCGGGGGAGTGCCCCCAGGTCTGGAAACCTCGTTCAGGGTTCTCTCCTAACCGTCCCTATGTAGTGAGAACCTGGGAACGAGGTTGCGGGTCTGGCACATCAGCATCAGTGCTCATATCACACATTTCATAATCGCGCCATGTAAAGGAATCTGGAATCCAGAATACAGCTCAAGGAATCCGGATTCCCACTAACGATAGGAATCCAGAATCCAAGTTCCACTTACCAAGACTGGAATCCAGTACCTGGAATCCAGAATCTACGGCTTGAATTTTTATCGAAGAAAGAAAGTTAAGCCTCGCGATTATTTCAACTCGCTTAAAGCTAAATTTCCTGGAACTGAATTCTTGGGATCCGAACCCAAGCTTAGAAGGAGAAAGAAAAATTCGTCGTGGTGTGTTTACGCCCTCCATAAAACGTCCCTTGAGGTTGTAGTCGTGCGCGCAGTGACAGCAAAAAAAATATACAAAAAACTGTGCTGCACGTGCAGAGTTGTTTTTTGCTTTTTAAAGAGGCCCTCTTAGTGGGGTTGCATATGTCCTTGGTCTGAATTTTAAAACCTCTCGTTTCGCGTATTGAGGAGAGGATCGCGAAGCTATGTCGCTGTCGGTATTGTACTATTGTATTTGCGCTTTTCTCTGTCGCTGTCGCAGTTTCCACCTATCTTTGCATTGTGCCGTTTGACGCCATTTCTGCTGTCCTATATTCCTGTTTCAAGGTCTAAATTTCGCTTGTTGGAATTTGACCTAAAAGGGCCTCAATAAATAAACCTATTGCACGTTTCCCTGCTCCAAATGACGCTGATTCACGCGTGCCCACTATTTAGTATTGAGAAAATCTTATTCTTCTTGGTCGTCCTCGACTTAGGGCCTGTTTATATGGAGGTGGAGAACCCCAGATAGGTAAGGTAACATGTGGCGGTCAGCCACCGATCATGTAAACGAATCAAATTAAAATGAGAGATTATGTGGACAGGGGGGGGGGGGTTACCTCACCTACCTGGGGTCCTCCACCTCCCCGTTAACAGGCCCTTAAAATCTAAAGGCCTCTATCGCTTAATTAGGGGGGTTACAATGGGGCTGACAACAGCCGTCGGGGGAGATTTCTATTACTCATGCCCACGGCCCTAGCTTCCTTCAAATTTTGTAGGGAACAAATATTT